AAGAGCATTCGGAATTTTGGATCCATCCATCTTCTCTTTGATGCTGAATGCCTACGTGCGTCATCACGTCGAATATGCAATCCAGGCCTGGCAACCCTGGCTAAAACGTGACCTTGCAGCGCTTGAGACCCCACAGCGTCGAGCAACGAAAATCGTCAAGGGCTTGCGCCACACTCCTTACCAGGAACGACTGGAGATACTCGGAGTGTTCAGCGGACGGTACCGGCGACTTCGTGGAGACCTCATACTAGTGTACCAGATATTGAGCGATCCCAGTCACGTATGCCGCCACCTCTTGAAGCTCAGCCCGAACACTAACCTTCGCGGTAACAGTTTAAAGCTGAGCCAACAGTACAGTCGTCTAGACTGTCGGAGAACCTATTTCTCCCTCCGGGTCTGCGGGCCCTGGAACGCCCTTCCAAATTCAGTTGTTTGTGCCCCCACATTAGATATGTTTAAAAAACGATTGGACGTCGCACTGAGCGCCCTGCGCTTTGTTTTATGAACGAAAACGCTTGTATATATTTAGGCTGGCCAGCCTCTTTGGATTTATACCCCAAATTCACGGTCGTAAATCTGTGCGAACCGGTGAGTACTCCATTTTTATTTGCTACCATCACCAACGATAACAATTGCTTAGCCAGTTTTGCGTCGTACCACTTTATCCCCCTAAAACTGTTATACTTCTACCTTTTATCTTACTGACGCTCCTTACTTCAACCACTTATGTGGTTTGCCAATCTGTTAGTATTTCTATTGCCAACCTGCGGGACTCGTTAAGTGAATGCTTTTTTACCCGTCATATACCATTGTTCCAAACTTCCATCCTCTGTGCATGAATCTGTAGAATATGTGGGCAGTGTTCAAGCAACAGCGCACGACGCAATCCGCACAATTGTGGGCATACGACAAGACGACAATGAATTGAATCAGTCAGCCGTTTCAGTTCTATCAACAGATTCTGCCATGACGACAGAATCAGCTTTATCCTAACTTTTCACATCCATAAACGAATCTCATGCTGAGAAGCAGAGCGATCAAAGAAACTCTATTAAACACTTTTTTCTCAACAGACTGTCATCATTCCTGAAACAAAACACATCTAACACTCAGAGAAAAACAATTAAAAGACACTATTTAGAAAGTCTGACTGCTCAGGAATGTTTGGAGCGAATGGAACAGCAAGGTTAGGAAAAGTCACAAGACCGCGAAGAAGTTTGCATAAAAATGAAAAGATAGTAAGCATCGAAGTGTTCTGGACAAAAGGAAACCACACAGTTTCACATGATCAGAAAGGTGCCATGAATCAACAGCTTCGTGATGTCTTCGCAAAGGCAGCCAAAATCACACGATCACAAAGACATCCGTTAACTGAAGTGCGTGTGGTCAGTAAGACTGCAAATGTTTTAGACAAAAATAAACCATCCGTTCGTATACTCAGCTCAGAAATAATTCCGCAGAAAAGCAGAAGCGTGGTATATAATCTTGCAATGATATCGATTTTTCCGTACCGGACAGTAATGATGAGTGGTTGCCCCCCAAAGAAGGTGTCTCTAGTAGAAACATATTTGAGAAATTCAGTTTCTGTGAGACATAACATCAAGTGTCTGCCAACGGTTTAATTGTGTTCGAATAATCCTGACAAGTGCGGAAGGTGTGGAATTGCCCAATTTTCCTGTTTTATAAAAATGTCAATAAAATGATAATATCTTCGTTACAATTGTTTTTTTTAATCAAACCTGTTCCGGTACTATTAAATTTAACGTATTGCTATCCAGATAATGTGTGATTATGAATATTATTAATTTATTAGTTTGTTTATGCATATATATATATATATATCGTTCGCGGCAACCGGTTTCGAATTTACCTGTCACTGCGCCAGCCACAGGACGCCTGCGCTTACAGAGGGACCATGGATCTCCTGCGCTGTACCGCCCACAGCTCCATCCACACACCCTATATCCAGTGTAAACCCGAAGCAATGAGACCGGGACGCATGTGGATGGGAGCCACGTTTCATCAACGGAGCCGGCCCACACACCTTCACAGGCAAACACAAGCACGCTGTATTTGGGAATCAAGCGCACACAAGGCGGTGGCTGGACCGTAGTTCGCTCCACACTGAGTGCATGGAACCACTCTTCGAGCCTAGCACGATCACAACGACCGTGCACCCCGTCCCCTCCAGCAACGACCAACTGTCTCTTGTAGGCAGTGTGGATGAGTTAGTTGGTAATAGACAGGTAGGCACTTTGTCAACATGCACAGCAATATATATATATATATATATATATATATATATATATATATATATATATATACTGAGACTGGTGTTTCTTTCATGATGCTTCATCGCAGTTGGACTAACCCAATTTACACTTAAATTTGATCCTTTTAAACTGGATACATTTCCTTCGACTTTATTTGGCTTGTTCTGCCTACTTGCACTCTTTGCTTAAACTTACTGTGATTATCTATACTTACTTAATCGCGTTTGTTTTATTTTTTGAATATCTTTTGAACATTTTGTAATTATCGCCGGTTCGTTGCTAACAGCTTACTTCACCTGTTAATTTTGCGAGGAGTTATGCCGGCATAACCGTATGTTTTAGTAGATATATTTTTTGTTAATGATATTTCAAGTGATTGGCTGTTATTTGACATCATCGGTATGGCTGCGCTTGATATGCACGCTAACATGGCACATACCTGTTACCCACTGCCTCATTCATACTGTCTCTAGGAGATGGTCGTTGCTGGAGGGGACGGGGTGCACGGTCGTTATGGCCGTGCTAGGCTCAGAGAGTGGTTCCATGCACTCAGTGTGGAGCGGACTACGGTCCAGCCACCGCCTTGTGTGCGCTTGATTCCCAAATACAGCGTGCTTGTGTTTGCCTGTGAAGGTGTGTGGGCCGGCTCCGTTGATGAAACGTGGCTCCCATCCACATGCGTCCCGGTCTCATTGCTTCGGGTTTACACTGGATATAGGGTGTGTGGATGGAGCTGTGGGCGGTACAGCGCAGGAGATCCATGATCCCTCTGTAAGCGCAGGCGTCCTGTGGCTGGCGCAGTGACAGGTAAATTCGAAACCGGTTGCCGCGAACGATATATATATATATATATATATATGTATAAATTAACGTTTAAGCTGTTACAATATCCCTGGAGTAGACATCAGTACAAAAATTGGCGAATAAGCTCGTTTTCAGGCTAATACACTACAAATGAAGTACGTGAATGAAAACACCAGATACGGATATAGGTCATGAAGGATTCATGACCCTGAGTTATGTGCGCACAAGTAATTTATCCATGCGCTAACTCTATCCTAATCTCCTGTAACACGGACACATAGTGTGGACAACGCCACACAAACACGCTCTTGATCGCCGTGGGGCCAATCAGCTAGCTTGGTCACTCAGATTATCTGAGTTTGGATCGGTACCCTTATCTGATGTTTACGTTCATGTCATTTATTTCTGATGTGTTAGGCTGATGATGAACCCCTGAAAACGAGCTTGTTCGCTTACATTTGTTCTGTATTCAACGTTTATAGGTAAAGCGTTCGATTGCAAGGGTTGTTAAGCTAAACGAACCCGTTTTGCGATGGCAAGTTGAATAGAAAAGTCTAGGAAGACGGAATGTTAAATCACATAATGATGGCGGATGAAGATGATTGTTGCCTGTGGTGTCGATGGGCACCGTTTTGGTTTACACGTAACTGGTTTCTAAACATCAGGCTTACTCTAATAGATTGGAGTTAGGCGCGTATGTTGCTGCGGTTTGTACGAACGTACAGTGTGAGGTTCTTCAGTGACGAGTTTGAACGTGTTGATGTGAAGACACATTTTAAGCTAGTCACCGGAGGCACGGCATTGCTAACTTGATGGGAATGACTAGGCTGAAAGATCAATCTGATGAGGTGGGCCACAGTTCAGCGACTGAAACACCATCATGTTTCTCAGCAGGCCAAAGCGTTTACGATAGTCACTTATGTTAGTTGTACAGCCCATGGTTGATTCGATTAAAACAGGGCTACGAACTCGCTTCAAAAGGCAAGCTCAGGTCAATGAATATCCACCGACAACTTATGGTTGAAATCATGCCCTAGCTTATGAAGATGCATAAGATCAGCTACCGTTATAAAATCTAACATAATATATTGATATCTTCATCCACAAACAACCAGGGTTGGTTAACGTTTCGGATATGTTTGGGGATGTAAATACGGGGGTGCATGGCCTGTGTTCGACTTTGACTGAATCGGTAAGAGCACTCACTAAGATCCGTTTTCTCTCTGATTTGGTTTGTATCTGTCCCACGTGCGAGGTCACTCTGATCTTCATTGATCATCGTTGATCTTCATTTTCCGTTCACTGGTAAACATTAACGAGGCTATACTCCCTCAAAATTTAGTTCAGTTATTCTGTGCTTGGGAGACATCGCAAAACAGTCAGTTGGTTCGTTCCTACGGATTCGGTACTACAGGTCTGACTCTCTTTGTGACATTAGGTAGCATTGCTCGTCCGATTCAGGATACCTAAGATGAGTTTCCTTATCTGTGACTTTCATCGGTGCAAGCATTTTGATTGCATTGAATAGTCGATTTCTGAGTGGCCGAACCTTGAAATGGTTTTGGAATTGTTCTTGAATTGCTAATTAAGTGGGCTACTAATTGTTCCATCTTCTTTGAATTAGTTAGCTGATAAAGATCTAATTTTGTTAAAGGCCACTTAGAAAGCTGAATTGATGCTCCACTCCAAAGGCGTTGGGATGATCATCTCAATGGGCAATTCAACCGGCCTGCTCTGTTTATGTAAGGTTAACGTCCCCATCCACATCATAGATTTGTTCCGGTATGTAGTGGCACTGTTAATGTGAAACACATAGTTCCACTAGCCACCCTTTCGTCTTCATTTCAGTAGCCAGCGCTTTTTTATCCCACAATTCCATTACCAATTGCTCTACTCAGTGCTTACCTTGACTTGCGCTCTAAGTCAGTGTTACGACCCAAAAACGCAACATCGTGATTGTGCTGTATGCCATCCTCTGATCAACCAACTGGCTATGGATTTGCCTTCCGCTAGACACGATCACTCCATCCTCACTTGTTATCAAACCGGCTTACCTATGAACGAAGACAATCCACCCATGTGCCTTCCAAATGGCTACGTTTACAGCCAACAAGTGAGCCCCTTCCCTCGATTCATGTTTTCTTTTCTGATTTATCGCGAGAAATGAGCTAATGTGTCTTCTCATTCTATACCGTATGCGCGTTAATGATGCTTGATCTGACGTTTTCACCTTCGGTGAATCATCCGAGTACAACTTGTCGCCTGATCAGTATTCTGTTATCCCGATTATACATGCAGGCTCCGTGCAAAGTGCTTTCTACTTATGCAAAAACCAGTGGGAATTCGCTCGTTAAACTGAGTAATGACAGCGCTGTCTTGTCTACTAACGAGTCAGTCTTCTATTGGCCTCAGCCACTGTATCTTCCTCCAGGAGAAGTTTTGCATTCCCGGGAATCGCCAATGATTCCTGAGGAGCAAGTCGGGTTTCGTCGAGGTCGGGGCTGCACCGATCTCACCTTTACGCTGCTTCAATTGTTAAAGAACCGTCACGTATTTTGGCGGCCCACCATGGTCGTGTTCCTCGACATCAAAGGTACCTTCGATTCGGTGAATCGATATGGTCTTTGAACTGTCTCCTAAGGAAACGTTTGGCTGAGAAATAAGTAAATATTATCCGAACACTTTAACCGCGTAGCTTGGGCAGAGGGAGGGCTTACGGCAATCTCGCCGCCCTTCAATAGTACCAGCGGTGTAAGACAGAGATGCCCGCTGTCATCTTACCCCTTCGATTTCGTTATTGATTAAGTCATGGAAATCGCGTTCACAGGACACGACTTATAAGGTGTGGAGCTGCTCACCATACGCGATAGGATCTGTAGAAGAGCAGTGCACCAGTAGTGTGTCTAATGAGCCCATACAACCTATAGAAGACAATATTGACCAGACACCTTACATTGTACGTAGAATATTAGACACGGGATTAACTACGCGGAAGGTGAATAAGGCGTTAAACCCTTCTCCGAGTACATACCGAAAAAAACGATTAGTCGCTGGCCATTCACTGGTCAGCGAAACTTCACATATGACTTGCACAATCTCCGAAAGATTACTCAAATCTGAGAAATTTTCATGTATCTACACTGACGCCCAAGGGCTTCTCAGTAAACTTACCGAACTTCGGCTACTTCAGGGTGCGAATTCTCGGGACCTAATTTCCATTACCGAAACTTGGTCACACCAAGAGGTGACTGATGCTGAGGTTGAGATAGCCGTAATTACACTCATCCGGAACGACCGCCCCAGCAGAGGAGGTGGGGTCCTACTCTACTACCGCAGCGACCTGTAATGTGCAATAATTGATGATCTGGAAATTCATGTTACCGGCTCACTCTGGTGCCGTCTTCGACTAAGACACAACAACGCATGTCTCGTAGCTGTCGTTTATCGCCCTCCAACTTCCGATCGGGGAATGGATTCCCGCTTGATACGTATCCTGAACAGAGTAACATGCACCAAGTACAGCCACATTCTCATCTCCGGGGACTTCAATTTACACGATCTGGAGGTATCGGCATCACCCGGTGAACAGTTCAAAGCAGACATGCATAAACTTATCACTAATATTCCCTTGTACAATCATGTCACCACACCCACCAGATTCGTGACAGCAAACAAACCGTCCATATTGGACCTTGTGCTCACGAATGAAGAGCTCATGGTTGACAAGTTATTGATGCATAGTTCTGTAGGGCTCAGTAACCATGTAGTGATAACGTTCAACTATGTGTTATGCAGAGCATCCATCTGAACATTTGAAACTAACTGATACAATCATACTCTACCACGTCTGTAAAGAACTCATCGACGCATCTGCTTGGGAATTCTCAAACAACAGTCCCCTTGACAACGGTTGGACAGAGTTCGTTGATTGACTCAGCGACATCATCAACAGAGCATCAGAGACCAAGCCCCTTCGTCCCGCAAAAATGCCTTCAATTCTAAGGAGCAGGACTCGAAAATGCCTGACGATAAGGGATGTAGCATGGCGTGCCTACAAGATTAACCCCGACTCAGAGACTTGGGGCAATTTCCTGATCCATCGCAACCATTGCACTGCACTTGTCCTTGAGGACAAAGTAACTTATCAACAGTGCCTAGCCAAAATATTTCCTGGCAAACAACAAACTACTGTATAGGCATGCCAACAATCTTCGTAAAGCATGACAACCCTCCACCATTCACGACAGGTGGTAGAGTACAAACCGCCGAAGAAGCAGCTATTGCCCTGCGGCTACAATACACCCCAGTTTTCGAACTCCCATTCTCTACCTGTCTCATAATGTCATACATATTGCCCACTCTATTGCTTACACATGTAATTTTCAGCCCCTCAATTGTGCTAAGAAATTACTCTCACTGTGCGACCATAGCTCTCCGGGAGCCGACAACATCCGCCCGAAAGTGCTGAAGGCTGCGGCCATCAAGCTATCTGAACGACTGTCATAGTTCTTCCAAAAGTGCTTTGATGAACAACTAGTCCCTTCTATGTGTAAGTGTGGCATTATCACTAATTTTTAACGCCGGTAGCCGTTTGGAGCCTGAAAACTGTCGCCCAGTGACTCTTCCTTGTACTCGCGAAGGTGATGGAAGCGGTCGTCACTGAGGTTCTAATGGACAACCTGGAAAAATGCAACATCTTCGCACCGGAGCAGCATGACTTCCGTCAACACCAGTCATGCACCATTATATATATATATATATATATATATATATATATATATATATATATATATATATATATATACATATATATACATATATATATATATATATAACACAATCTGTGGTACAGATATTGTGCCATCGGAATCATGGCTGAATAGGAGAACAGTATGAATAATAACAAAGAGCAACAACAACAAAAGCTTTTTTGTCCAGTTTACCACTCACAGTTTTTAAAAAGAACTTTCAGTTTGTTCTTTTATAAGGGGGAGGAAGAAGGGACGCCGCAACACACCGATGCACACTTCCGCCATTGACATCGATCTTGTGCCATGGCTTCCAAGGTCTTCAACCAGCAAGTATCCGCATCTCTCGGACCCCAACCAGGTAGTCGACAACAACCGGCCGAGGCCAACTGTTTCGTCAACTTTTTCATGCGGCTTTTCCATGTTGTGGGCTGTCCACCAGACCGTCTCTTCCAGCCCTGTCCAGCAAGTGCAAACAACCCACAACGTGGGTAACGCTGGACAGGCATGCGCAATACGTGTCCCAACCACCGCAGTTGATGCAGTGAGATGAGCTCCTCGAGCGAGTGGCTTCCACGTCCCAAGACACACTGTCTAACTTCCAAATTGCTTACGTGGTACTGCCATCACACACCGGCAATGGACCGCAGGCAGCGGTGCTCGAAGACGGATAGCCTGCGCAAGTCATATTTACGAATGGGCCAGGTCTCGCATCCGTACAACAGTACAGCACAAACGGTTGCACATTAGACCCGCCCTTTGATGGAGAGACGAATGTCGTGGCGACGCCACAAGTGCCTCAGCCTAGAAAAGGCGAGGCGTGCCCTCGAGATACGCATCGAGATCTCGTCTCCAACAGCCCCGCCAGCAGTGATGCAACTTCCCAAGTAGACAAAGCTCTCCACAACCTCTATTGTCTTGCCACCAATAGTGAGTGCAGGCAGAGGCGCCTGCCAGTCTTGGAAGAGAGCCTTGCATATGGATGGTGAAAAATACATACCATACTTTGATGCTTCAATCGCCAAGCGGTTTAGTGCAAGTTGGACGACGTGTGGATCATCACCCAGCAAGACGATATCATCAGCTTAATCCAAATCAACAACTCGACTACCTGGGAGAAGCTCAAGGCCAGCGTTCAATGAATCGCCTAGAGCGTTCTTCAGGACATCCTCAATGGCAAAGTTGAATAGGAACGGAGAGATAGGGAATCCTTGTCGAACTCCACTGGAAACCACAAAGGAAAGCGAAAGCTTGCCACAAACCCTAACCCTGCCCGAAGTCAGACTATAGAGAACGCGCAGTATGGAGACGAACTTCTCAGGAACACCATTTCTCAGTAGGCAGTGCCACAGTACGGTACGATCGACAGAATCAAAAGCTGCACGGATATCCAGGAACACAGCAATCGTTAGCCTCTGATACACGTGGCGGAGCTCGAGGATCTGGCGGAGTGTAAAGATTTGGTCGATGAAGCCGCGACCAGGGCGAAACCCAGCTTGTTCTTCTCGTTACAACGATTCGCGCGTTGGGTATAGCCTGCGAAGTATGATGGACACCAGCAGTTTGCAAACGACGGAGACTAAGCTTATTCCTCTGTAGTTGGAGCAGATTGTGCTCAGAACTTTTTTGAAGCTTGGGACGACTATCGATTCACCCCAAGATGATGGGACTTTCTCTTTCGACCAAATTTTTGAGAACAAAGCGATGAGTTCTTGAACCAGCAAAGCGCCACCATGTTTAACTAAAGCCGGAGAAAGACCATCAGGGTCGGGGGCTTTATAACGCTTCATGTGCCGGAGCTCCTGCTGGAGTTCCTGGTGAGAGGGAGGATCTGTGAGGGTAGACCACTCGGCCCCAGCGCGAGCACCAGTGGTAGCAGATGGAGCTGGGGGCCAACAAAACTGCGAGCCAAAATGTTCGGCCCATCGCTCCAATGGTCGTTGGTGATTAAGGTGCCATCCTCTTCGCATATTGTTTCACTTATACCAGATCGAACACCTTCGGTGACTCGAATGAGATGGAAGAGTTTCCTGGTATTACCACAGAGACTAGCAAGTTCCATCTCCCTAGCACGTTCACATCACCAAGCTTCGCGGTCCATTTGCAGACTCCTGCGCAACTCTCGACCAAGGTATTGGCGCTCGTCACTCTGTCTGGAATCCGACGGGATCAATCGGTGTTTGTCCGTCAACAACAAGGTGACAGCGGAAATCCAATGCTTCGGTGGTTGACGAGTAATTCCGCAAGTGCAAATACTGGTGGTAACTAAGGCATCCTTGATATGCGCCCACTGCGAATCGAGGTCACCGTCAATAGTTGAGCCAAGCAAGGTTGACAGTGAGGCTTGGTACCTGGTTAACATCCGAGGGTTTCGTAGATTTGCGACGTCCGGTCGGTAGTGAGCGCGCTTAGATGATCCTCCGAAACGCATGCATATCTTAGTAAGAACCAATGAGTGATCGGAGTCTATATAAGTTGACTAGTACGATCGGCAGTTCGTTACGCTTCCGCGCCATCTGTAGCTGATTGCTATGTGATCAAGCTGGGAGCACTCTTGCGTTTGTGAGGACGGGCGCCAGGTAGCAGTGTGTCTCCTCGAGTGCCGAAAACTAGTGCTCGAAAGAAACAAGCGATGATCAGAGCAAAGAGCAAGCAGTCTGTCTCCATTGTCTGATCGACTGCCACCGAGACCAAAACTACCCCCAAGGTGGTGCTCGCTTGGTGGAAGGCGGCCAACCCGTGCGTTAAAGTCCCCGGCAAGAATGACTATCTCAGTCCTTTGGATGGAACGCAGAAGTTCATGTAGCTGCTGGTAAAAGCTATCTTTAACTGCATCCGGGCTGCAGTCTGTAAGGGCGTAGGCGGAGACGACAAACATGGCACGCCTAACGTCTCGACGCCTACTTACATTACATGAACCTCGTAGTCTGACTGCACATAGCCGACTGTTGTCTGGGAGCTAGTCAAGCAGAGCTGATTCAGCCCTGGCACTCAGTACAACCCCAACACCAGCTTGACCAGTGGCGGCAGCTTCTGGTTCTCCGAAAAGCCGCAAGTAGTATTTAGTGTCAGAGTTTACCGGAGAGGCGATTCTGATGACGGCGCTAGAGTCTTGTAATCTGGTCTCTAAAAAACAACAGATGTCTACCGATAGCGTTTCAAGAGTACGGGCTAGACATGCTTGTCGTCCGATCTGCATCAAAGTTTGAACATTAAACGCTGCGAGGATGAATGGAGAACCAGGTCGAAGAAGAGCTGGAGCTTCGGTGGAGTGAGCGACGGTTGCGATCGCAGGACATTGAAAACCGGGAGTTTGGCTGTTGCTTCCATCAATTGCGAGACATGGGTCGTTTCTTTATGGTGACCGTAGATGACATAAGAGTACATATAGGTGAAGGACGGGATGTGGGCTGATCTGTGAGTGGAGGTTGAGTTAGCATAGAAGATAGGCATAACAGGAGCCATAGTAAGCAGTGTGGTCCATGATTCGTCAGTGGGCGCGATACTACCCGGTTGCTCAGGCCGAAGTAGTGAGTTGTCTTAGGGGCCCTACCCCGAGCCTTTGATCCAAGATCTAACCTACAAGGCAGCAGGGCGATGTGAGGGCGTCGCAACCCGTTGGCAGCCGGTGACCAAATGGATGGTTCATACGCCTTTCGGTCCGTGAAGGACTAGGGGCCCAACGCACCCTTAAAGTACAATGCCTCTCAGGGAGGGGCAACGGGCAGTGACTTTATTTAGTGGCGATTCATCCGTCACGTCGCAGTGTTGTTAAACAGACATTGGTGGCTTTTTATAGGGAAAACGCTTGCCAGGCGATCACCGCATCCTACTTCACTGGCTACAGAGCTACGGAATCGGATATCCTGTGCTTGGTTGGATTGGCAACTTTGCTTCATTAACGGAAGCTTCAGGTACGCCTTAGGGGATCATTCTCTAACCCAATTGTGGTGGAATGTCCTGTCCCACAATGCTCATTTCTGGGACTGCGCTTATTCCTTATGTTTATCAACGACCTGACAAGAGTTATCTCCTCGAATTTCCTGCTTTTCACCGAGGACCTCAAGATATGGCTGTCGATAATTAACAATGAATTTCACGATTTACTCCAACATGACCTAGATTGCATTTATGTATGGTCAAGGAGGAACCTGCTTCAGTTGAACATAGCTAAGTGCAAGGCGATCCATCTGCGTCACCAGCCGGTGAGCGTTTACAAGTTTGGAGACCACAGCTTGCAGTAGACATATCAGGAGCGTGACCTGTGTGTACCGGTACAGGAAGATCTCGGGTGTTCAAGACAAGCAGAGAAGGCGACGAGACTCGCCAATCAACACTTCGGCCTTCTTCGCAGAGCCTTCGGTCGGTTTGAACCCTCAATCTTTCCCCAAATGCTTTACGCCTAGGTGCGACCGCACGTGGAACATGCTATCCAGGTGTCGCCGCCGTGGCAGAAGCAGTATCTCGTTGCTCTCGAGACTTCACAACGAAAGCAAGCAAGGACGTCAGGGACCTCTCTCAGCTGCGCTATCATCTTAGACTGAAAACTCCAAGAATGTACAGCCGTCGATATCGGCGTATACGGGGGGATCTCATAGTGGTGTACCAGATTCTGAAGAATCCAGACCAAATTTGTCGTCCGCTGCTGGAATTGAAACACAACACTAACCTAAAAGGTCATTCTCTGAAACTGACAATATAGTACAGCAGGCTTGAATGCCGTAGATGTTTTTTCCCTCCTCGTTAGCCAGTCTTGGAACGCCCTCACTAATTATGTTGTCTCTGCTTCCAATCTGGCGATATTTAAAAGACGAGTTGACGATGTGTTGTCTCATTTGCGTTTCATTTTATTACTTGTTAGCCAAGCGCTACAAAACGCAATCAAACGGTGTCTTACCAAACTCCCAACCAATGGATTTATGGATTTATACTTTTAATACGCGAACATCTTTGCTATGGTGTCCACCAAAACGCTTTTCACTTTATCATGCACTTTAATTTTCGCAATAATTTCCATCCCACAAGACTTGTTAAGCATTACTTTTTTTACCCGCAATACACCATTGTTCCATATGAACGACTTTTGACTCGGAGAATGCTGATGACATTGCGATCATCTGTAACCGCTTAAAAATGTACCAAATGCCATTAAACAGATTACCACTGGCTGCCTCGGGCTCTGCTTCACACCCTCAAAGTGCCAAGCTTCCCTCCAAGAATGGCACGGACTGCATCCTGCGTTCACTTTTGGTGGGGATCAGCTAAAAGTCACTTGACAATCCATTGTTTCTCAACTGCTCCCTTGGGCGTATCGATATGTGCGACTACCAAGCCACGTTGTGTGACAGTCATTGCTCTCACGGACTGGCAGCTGTGGAATTCAGCATTGAGCTGCGACTACAAAACACTTCTTCCTAACCAGTTGCATATTGTTGATATATTGCTTTTGATTCATACTTAACTTTTTTAACGTCGTCTCTACCTTCCGCTCAGGGAATCACCGAACTGACCGACCCCAACGGTATGATCACTTGTCCAAGATCCGGTGCGCAGTTCGAGGCCTCTCAGGTCCAAAGGGTATACATTCTCTGACTTATCATGGAAGCCTATTCACTTGTGACTAACTTCTGGCTTTTTATGAACCAACGCCCGGCTTCTTTACCACATCATAGACACCTACGAGCTTGTACTTGCACGGCTGACCCCCATCTTTCCATGATTCACTTTTCATTAGCGTGTCTTTCACAATTGTCAATGCTTCCGCCGCTTTATCGTCATTCTTTCTTTAACTCATTTTGTCCCTGTCGTGCATCTCCCCCGATCCACATACTGTTCACAATTTGGGCACACACACATACGCGCTTGTTCTTGTTCCTCTTCTTTCCGTGTGGGGTTGTTATTAGGCATAGCGAGTCACCACCACTCATCGTCAAGATTTCACTCGTAACAGTTTACCCTTTACCGTTTGGCTTTTGTCTATTTAACGCACATTGTTTCTCGTTAAATCATTTTTCTGTTTATCAAACCGAATCGGGACACTGTTCATTATTTCACAGCTGATGTTGTTCTCTGCTTTATGGCATTGCACGCAGTATTCACTTGACGATGATGGCTAAAGGTCAAGGGTTTTCTTAGTCATCACTTAGCGATGTTCTGACAACAGTACCTTGGGCCTACCACCGGTCACTTATCTTGCTAAATCTATCCTACCACTGTGGTGCCACCACATCCATTTGTGTTTTAATTGCATGTCGTTAGGTATAACAAGACGGATTGTGTTATATCCGCGGTATTGGGGTCTAGATCCACTCGATCAGCGTAGTCACCTGGACCACTGAGCATCGCACTGGCGATGAGTCAAGTCGAGCTGCACAGTAGATTGTGACAGTCAAGTTTCTACGACCTTAGCGGAGTCAAATGCTGTCCATATGTGGGCACACGTATATGCGAGTAATGCTCAAAATCAGTGCTCGTCTGGCTCTGGATCCCCCGGCATATCAGCTCTGTCTTTGAAGGCGGACAAGTCACGGGCGCTGCAAAATCGGGGATTGGATTGGTTCGCTGCTTCAACATATTTCTAGATAATTTCATGACGCAGTAGTGGGAATGACTCCGTGTTTTCAATATTGTCAGAAATACGCCCAACTGCGATTCGGAAGATGGCTAGCTTATCCTTTCTGTCTGTTGTTTGTGTGTGCATGGACCTTCGGTTCCATTCCAAAACCCAGTGTCTCTCTTATTACCCCGTTTATCAAGTTAGTATTGTATTCGTAATATCCATGGGTGGATAAACTTTGACTTTATGGGATTAGAACCACTGTTGCGCAGTTCTTGGTCACATACTGTGAGTTGGCCACGTTTCTCCCCCAGAAATGAACTCCGCATAGAACTCACTGCCTATTTCAGCCTCTCAGTTTTCAACCCTATGTGCGCATCTTCGAATGTGTCTGCTAATAACTTGATATTCATAATGAGACCTGGACCGTCTTATACTATTCCCCTGGACCGTAAAATTAATTGGGACTTAAACCGTAACATCGGCGATGAATAAGAATGGCACGTTTGGTAAATACGTTGGGTGCATCTTTCCAGTCAAAATATGAAAAAATGTATAGGGACATACGTGACTTTAATGTCTTAGTGACTGTGCCCCCAAACTGTTCCGAAATATGCCCAGCGATGAATCGGGATATGGCTGCTTTATCCTTTCTGTCTGCTTTCTACATTCGACATCAGCTCATTTTACCGAGTTGGCACTGTATTCATCGTATCTGTGGTTGGTAAAACTCTGGTTTCATGCAATTCGTACAACTTGCTCAACTTTCTTAATGTGAGTTGAACTCAGCTTCTCGTTTGGGGATAGATTCCGCATAGAACTCACCACCTGGTTCATTTTTTTGAGTTCTTGGCCTCATGTGAGGATCTTTGAATGTGTAAGCGAATCACTCCACTTTATGTTCAATAGGATGACTGCAGTGTCTTACACTATTTCGCAGAGCCGTACAGTTAATTAGATACAAAGCGGTAACAAAAGTCCTGTGTGTAGTAATTGATTGAACAAAGCCGACTAATGGGCGGTAGACAGGCCAGCGGCTAAGTAGTCATTGCCGGCGCTAATTGATCGCTCTTGGACGAGACTGACGGAGGAATCGGCGTCGGTTCAGCCTAGAGGTAACGTATCACAGCTGAGTTAAAGACAGCGACGAAGCGGTTTGTCTAGAATAGCCACGGACAGAAGAAACCATTTTTCTAGGTGAGCAGGCGAAATTAAGCTGATGAGTTCAACTTAAGTCAAAAACTGTTTTATACACCTTTCGTGGGTGAGCATGCAGCTACAACATACACTATCAGAAATTTAACACAGTTAGGTCCCCTTAGTAATTTGAAAAGCACAATGTACCAGAACATAAACCATTACAGAAATGCACCATAAATCGGTTTGATAAAGAACGGGCGGTAATGTCATCATACTGCGAATCGGATTGTTAAGTGTAGAACGACAGAGTTGAGGTCGGGGAGAAAACTCGAAAGATAGGGGATAACCGACGAGCGGTATGCGCCTGTGTGCGAGCATAAATCAGCTTGTACTTCTACCTACTAGACAAAGTTGACAGACATTCAGATAAAGCGGATGACTAGTATCAGCCAGCATATTTGGATGTCAGTTTACTACAAGAGTTGGTGTGTGTAGAAAGAAGTGTGCTGACAAAAGTAGGCATCGAAATGCCTTTACATCGGGATATGTTCCGTAAAGAACTGAAAATTAACAAAATGCTTACCCAGAAGACCGGGGAATATCACAGGGGTAGGAACACAGGCATTGACAAATCAAAGGTTCAACTCAAGAGGGAAAGAGGAAGCTCTTAGACTAGAGACGTAGAAAGATAACGTTCGGACTTTTGTGAGAGTTTAATTTACATGAAGAGTCCAAGATAAATCATAAATAAATAAGTAGTTCAGTACCACACTTATGTATATGTCTCTAAATAGATTGGGACACTATGTAAGGAGCTGCACTTACATGGCACTTTGATGCATTAAGCGACAGGTGACCTGCAGTTGGACGAACTTGAAATCGTTCAGGTCTTACAACCTGACCGAAAGATGGATGGCTCAATGATTTATACTCAAGACGATGTCCTTATCATACTTTATTATGACCTCTTCTTCAGGGATTAGTATTGATCATACGTAAGTGGGAGAGAGAAAAGACAACTGAGTTGCTCCCTGAAGGACACCGGAGTTGGTGATTGGTGAGGAGGAACATTTGCCACCGAGTCGGGTAGTCTGAGTGCGTCCATCAAACTAATCCCTAAGCAAATAGATAATGGTGTGGTGTATCCATTGAATGAGTAGGTCTTTCAGCAGCAATTCGCGGTTTACACAGCCGAATGCATTGTCATAATCAAAGAAGCAAATATGAGTTGATTTATTTTTGGTGTCAGATGACGACAGTACAGTATGTACGAGGTAAGCCACTGCATTAGAGTAGACCTTGAACCGGGATAAACGGATTGAAGGTCAATGGAGCGAGTTTAGGAAAACATAATTTCAAGAATTTTCTCACGAACCATCAAGTCAACATTTTTGCAAGCCATAACTCGATACTTATTAGATCGTATTTTCGGCACTAGTGTGATACTGACACTTCTCCAGCAATCGGCAATTTTGTGTTGCTGCATGCATACTGTGTCTAGTCAAAATAAGCTTTATATGCCCTAATGGGTTCATTCTTAGCATTTACACCACCACTGCGGACACCTGGATGGTAATATCAATATACACCCTTGGGTGGAAAAGTGGAAAAAAAGCAGAACTGTTACACCAACAAGCGCTCGCGCAGCATGTTAGTGACTTGCTGTGTCAACAAGCAAACGTGAGAAATCAGGCAAAACCGTATTACGATACGATGACGTACGGGAGAATAAAATTCTGAATTTCGAACGAGTAGAAGAGAAAGAGAGCGTTTTGGAAAGATCATCGTGAACTGGATAAAATCGATCAGTTAGTATCTTAGAAGACGAATCATTGCAAGCATCAAGATGTCTAGAAATAATCAAATCAACTGAAGAATTTCTAGACAAGCCGCTGCATCTAGAAATGTGCTTTATAGATCCCACCAATAAGATGTCTTTCTGAAGCAGACCAGGGAAAATGACAGGAGAACAGTGTCGCCAATGGGGAATAATACAACAGGTCGCAAACCTGAATATTAAAGTACGAGGTACTGAAAGCAACTTAAGTCTGAGAGCATAAAAAGAAGGATTTCTGACTATTTGAAAAGTTTTACAGACGTGTGCGGACCAAATAAGGTTCAGGGACAAAAAATGCCGAGATACATGACGGTGGAACAGCTGAGTATGGGAGAAAGCTATGAGGGACTGTAACTTATGGCCACGTAGAAAAGAAAATACTACATCCCTGCATTTAGAAGCATTAAGCGTAAGAGATCTGGATTAAGGCCATTTCACCAGGCCTTCCAACCCATGTTGAAGTGATGAGGAATCCTGGTTAATGGGGGACATACAACCCAGCGTACCATCAGCATATTTCACCCTATAAACATGGTTTGTATAAGGGGGTGTTCAACATCCAAGGAAAATAGAAAAGGTGATAGGATCGCTCCCTGTAGAACATCACTCGGCACGAAGGACAGTATTACAGCAGCACGTGCTAATGTTACTCAGATTACCACACACACACGTGATCGATCGGACAACGTTCTCACATTGGTCGATACCGACTGGCCTTTTATTCTTGCTCTGATTGGCTTGTTTTCCGTTTACGCCTACCACATTCGATATACTCGTCATTAAGCAACTAACACGCTTGTCTTCCGGTTTGGTGTCTTCTCTCTCCGAGTTCGGGACTACGAGTCCAACGACGAAATAGCAATACTTGTGTGATACGTATCAGGATGGGGACGAGCAGTACGAACCATCTAGCGGGACTGTCAATTCTGTGGCCCGATGGTTCAGAAAAACCCACCTTACCATTGTGGTGCAGTGGAAAACATCTTTCCAATATCAGATGAATCTTTTCCCCGTGTGTAACCCCTTTATTGAGTTGTCCACTGCCCACTGGACAATGCTATTTCCTCAGGCACTTGGTTCAGAAGGACAATGACATTTTGACGCCATGAATTTAGTAGCTAAAGAGAGTATCGTACACGTGATTCAGTGTTTCGAGGAGCTATGAGGAATTCAGCAAAGTGTATTTCCTGCCTGTTACCAGTTCTTCAAATTGCAGCAGCGACGCGGAGAATGCGTGAATGACTTCATTTCGCGCATTCACCAAGCGACACCAGAATGCCGGTATAATACAATTCCCTCAACGCGTGTCGAAGAAGTTATGAAAATTCAATCTTATCGGTGGAGTTATAGATGATGGCGCGAGAGAGAAGTTACTATCACAAGAGGAAGAAACCCTTTCATGGGAAACCGCTTTCAACCTCGTACGTCAAAGAGAAAATCTGAAAACTCGGTTGTCCACCTTCAACCCTATTCAGCCTGCAGAGTGTG